ACAAAGGAAGCCTATGAAAAGAGCCTTTCAAAAAGTACAGAACTGGCTACTATTGTCAAGTATTTGTACGCTACAATGTATATTGGCCTATATTTCATTAAACCGACTTACCGCTCTTCCCAAATACTTATATTGATTGCTCATCGTAAAGACTTTCTTCAGTCTTATTTGTTTTCCAATTTCGGTGAACTAGATTACGTGGCACCGGAGCTCAATTAGACAATCTTCGGTGGGCTTGTTTATGTTGATCACTCCAAAGACCAACATCGTCTATTATGTGGTCAGAATCGGACTTATGCTCTGGTATATCTCTGGCTAGTTCTGGATTTCGATACATCGATGAATCGAATTATGTCACATTAATCTATACATCGAAATTTATTCAATGCATCGAATTGGAAACATCGATGTTTCCGATGCATTAGGCATACGGGGGACGATTTATGGGCTGGAAAAATGTTACTCATATGCCATGTACTATGGGGTATTCCATGTGTATGTGTCGTCAAATAAAATTTTAGAAAAAATGCACATTACCGTCGTTTTGGTGGTTAGGGCTCGATATTCCTTTCGCATTTAGTTATTCCACTTTATGTTTTCTAGGCCAGGTGAGGTTTAGCAATATATGTAAGTCAGTTCGAGCAGCTTTATTATTTTTCAAACGCGAAAATGCTATTTGTACCTCGTCATAGTCACTGGGGTTATGAGTTCATCTTTTTGACTGATTTCAGTACCTCTCAGCAGGATCCGTGATCTTAGCTTTACACATTTCGGTCTCTCTTTTTATTACAGAAAATACGTCTGAAGGGAGATCGTCTTCCGCAAAATTTTGTAACTTACCAGTTGGTCTTGCCGGGCGCTGAAATCCAGTTACTTCTTAATATGTAGGGAGTGAGTTTGCATATTGGTTTGTTGAAGAGTGCTCCCAGGGAAAAGTAGTGAGAGTCGGCTGCGAATATAAGCTCTGTGATATTGGGCTGTCTTTGTATTTCTTTGCACATTTTTTGCATCTAGGGCTCCGAGTAAATGTTTGGTCCTTACTTCGTTTGTACATCACAACATGAATGGTGATGCTGATACGCCTTAGTGCGTTATCCGGTGTTTCGCCGTGGCCTACATATGCTTTATTTGTCATTTCTGGAAATAAAATTGCCAAGTACGATGCCGCCACAAATCGTACACCAAATTCGCGATCTTTTCCATGGCGTCTGTAATGGACTTTGGAGAGTCCCACTTGTTTCTGGCCTTTCCGAGTTCATAGCTTTAACTGAGTAGCATATGGTTCTCACAAACGAATGTTTTTTTTTGACGTAGAATACGTCTTACCTTAAGGTATGGGGGCTATGTTCAAATGTTGTAGTTGTAATTTTTAGAGCTTCACAAAAACGCTTATTGCACGAGAACTAATAAAGCGATTTCAAAGAAAAGTGTGGCGTTTCAAAGATAAAATTCCAAACCTGTCGACAGATTCATTTTTGTAAATAACCAATTCGGTTTCTGTCGTAAAAACAAC